AGTTTGGTTTTACGCCGCTTTTAGCAATATTCCAGCAACATCACGGCGGGGGACACCAGAAATGGGCTTCACACATTGTACCCATGTGGGGATTCGAACCCGGGTCTTCAGCGTGACGAACCAACGCTGTAACCACTAGGCTACCCCACCGCACCCTAATAACTGATGAACTTACTCATGCATCAGACCAAATCCTAATACATTACTATATTGTTAGCTACCATTACTATATTGACACTGTGCTATCATAATGACCTGCAAAAATATCACCCTTTGAGTAATATTCTTACTATAAATGGCAAATTAATCATACACAACAACTGAATTCATCATCAGCATCGAAAAGATGTAAAATATACATGCTTTAGAAATAGTGTTACTGTGGAGATAGTCATGGTCACTTTTTCATGTATCCATAAATTCTTTCAAAACAACCAGATTTGGTTCACAAGGTCAATGGCAATGGTTAATTATGGTAGGAACATCAACAGTGGAATTGAAACCCACCCAACATCATTGACATGTGGCCATGGTAAGTGAGTGAGTGAGTGAGTGAGTGAGTTTAGTTTTACGCCACACTCAGCAATATTCCAGCTATATGGCATCGGCCTGTAAATAATCGAGTCTGGACCAGACAATCCAGTGATCCAGCATGAGCATCGATCTACACAATTGGGAACCGATGACATGTGTCAGCTAAGTCAGCAAGCCTGACCACCGATCCCGTTAGTCACCTCGTACGACAAGCATGGGTTACTGAAGATCAATAGTCTAACCCGGACCTTCACGAGCCTGACCACCAATCCTGTTAGTCACCTCGTACGACAAGCATGGGTTACTGAAGATCAATAGTCTAACCCGGACCTTTACGGGTGGTAAGACCACAGTGGTTCAGCAACAGGACTAGTGTTACACAGAGCTACACAGTGCCAACACAAGTTAGCTTCATACAGGGTAACCTACAAAGTGGGACCTGGGCTTTAGGAAACAGAAGTGCCTAATCTTGGGATAGACTGAAAAAACCCAACACAGCCAGTTTCACTACTACATGTTAAATTAATTACTTCATATTAATGAAACATGTACGAGTGAAATTGGCTCTGTGGGGTTTTTTTCCAGTCTTTTTTAATATATTTAACTGTATACCTGTGACCTTTTAAAAAACTTTTCATAAATATACGTCTAAGATCTGTGTGAACTGATTTAATTCCATAGGTTTCCGTTACACCTGTGAAAATCAACACTAAATGAACTGCCTCTAAATTCACTGTGAATATCCTCCCTATAGTCTCTTCAAATTTATTTGGCATCAAAAAGTTGGAGAAAATAATTGTATAATTATGACTTCAATACATATAAACAAAATATATGTTGCATTTCAATCATGTTTGAAGGTCTCTTTTCAAGACCTTGTGTATTGTTTTACACCACATTCAGCAATATTCCAGCTACATCATGGTGGCCTGACAGACATCTATCTCAGACAAAGCAATGACCGACATTATGAGCATTGTTCCATGTTGTCAAGAATCGGCAACACACGATCAACGTTGTCACATGTCATGACTTGGTCAATACAGAGTTTCAAATGCAACAGTAACCCTTCCCTCTCTCTCTCTCAGTTGGGTCACTTCACTTTTGTGTATCACGGTTTCCACGTGGTACTTTCCATAAGCAATGCAATAATCACAATGTACAGTAAAAAAATAGGTGACATTTCCTAAATATCCACTTAACAGATACTGTATGTGTTTGAAAGGTCATGAGATCTAATATATACATATCTACCGGTACTTGTCAAGGAATAGGACTACTTGTATATCTTTGTATTTTTTTTAAAAATTAGGTGGGGGGTGCGTAAGGAACTCTTACTGTTGGCCTTGGTTCATATACATGATACAATATTCATCCATTCATTTAAGAAAAATGAACTTTAAGCATATTTTTCTATTGTATACAGTTGCATCTGACATCAGGCAAGGAACATGCTGACCGATGCAATCAAGTATTAATGTTAAGGATACTTGCATGGTTATTTAATTTTCAGTACAAAGCATCATACAGTCTTAGACCTAAGAAAATAGATCTCAGCAGCTTTAGTCAGATCTTGCATGTCGCTAAAAGTCTGGGAATGTACCATGTCGAGTTCACACAGGTTATTCACCGCTCTGATTGGCTGATGCTCACATCCTTTCAAGTTTGATTGAAAACTTGTGGATTGGTTTTCAACTTAGAGGTCTTAACTGACGACGTGATACCTTATATACTACTTTTTAAGTGGAATGTATAATCATGAGGTTTTGATTTTGAAACTTTTTGCAGTTTCAAACCTATAATTTCAATTTCTTTATGTTATTCCATGTGGGAGGACAATATGATTGCAGATCCTAAGGAACCAGTAACAGTAGTGAAAGACTGCTTCATCAAAATATCAATTTGTACAATTCAGGGATCTGTGATGTTCTCTTTTCTTATTTTCAAAATTAATAAATCAAGGACAATAATAATTTCAAGAACTTTGAGGACAATAGATGTCAAGAAGCACTTGATGTCTAACTGTGCTAATGTTTTCACAATTAATATTTTCTTTGGCAAGGATGATGTCTTCAGCAAAATCGTGGTCGAAGAGAGATTTGGACAAATCAGAATGAAGGATTGTACATATTACTGTGGATTAGAATAAACATTCATTTAGCATATTCAATAGAACCAATGATTATAATATAATGGAGCGTTTAAAGTCTTTGAATTTCAAGTCGTGAAAGATATGTGAAAAAATTATATAAATGATGAAACAGAAAATATGGGATGATAACTAATTGTACAGGACAAGTAATAAACTAAAATGAATTATTACAAGAAAATAATAATAATAATAGTCCATTTATATTGCGCATTAATCCATGCACTTTGCATGCTGAAAGTGATGACAGGGATGATAAGGGATTAATTTTCATGGTGTTTGCGCTAGAGGTGGAGATATGGCAGACATTATGCCTGTCGACTATTTACAGAGGTCATACTCGGACCCGTAACATGTCACACATTTTCCCATCTGTCCGTCTTGTTAAAATAAGATGTTGTCTCCATTTCACTATGTATCTCTGTCAAGAAAGTTACAGTCCGTTTGAGACAAAGTGATACCTATGAATTACATTCTAACACAAAAACAAATACTAGTAGACATAAAAGAATCAAACCAACGCGGACTGCAATAAAAACAAGTGTTTGCCACTGATGTGGCAATGTCCCCCGCCACTAAAGAATGGAATATCTATATTTACTACTTTTTATTTTTGGGTCACATACAAGATGCCTGAAATGACTGGTGTCTGCATAATCACCCAATGTAGGCTGTCAACATACTTGAAAACATTGGGTGCAATGTTTTATGAGATATCGCCTTTAAAAAGCGGTCAAAGTATCGTGGTGACCTTGAAGATAAGGTCAAGGTCACCCAAATAAACTGGTGTCTGTGTAATACCCCAATGTAAACTGTCACCAAATTTGATGACATTGGGTACAACAGTCCATGAGATATCGCGTTAACAAGAGTTAAAAGTGTGAAAAGTGTCGTGGTGACCTTGAAAATAAGGTCAAGGTCACCCAAAATCAACTGGTGTCTGCGTAATCCCCCAATGTAGGCTGTCACCAAATTTGAAGACACTGGGTACAACAGTGCGTGAGATACCACGTTAACAACAGTTTGAAAAGTGGTCAGTGTCATGGTGACCTTGAAAATAAGGTCAAGGTCACCCAAATCGACTGGTGTCTGCGTAATCACCCAATGTAGGCTGTCACCAAATTTGAAGACATTGGTTACAACATTTCATGAGATATCGCGTTAACAAGAGTTTGAAAAGTGGTCAAAGTGTCGTGGTGACCTTGAAAATAAGGTCAAGGTCACCCAATTCGACTAGTGTCTGCATAATCCTGCAATGTAGACTGTCACCAAATTTGAAGACATTGGGTGCAACAGTTCATGAGATATCGCGTTAACAAGAATCGGGACGTACGTACGGACGCCGCTGAATACATAGTCCCCCATTCCGCGTTGCAGCGGGGGACAACAACAGACCAACTCTAGAAAACAATTGCAGAATTTTTGTCACAAAAATAAAAAAGTTGTTTAAGAAACTGTCATCATTTATTAGTGCGTTTTCCCAGTTTGTTACAAGGGCGCATTGGCATTTAAAGGAAAAGCGAGATGCACGAGAGAAGCGAGAGATTACTGCTGATTGACTAAGTGAGAGAAAATGAAAGTCTATCAGTTACAAAGTCTATGGTTTCTTCAAGGATAAAAATAACAGGGGGTGACCCAAGTATGCAATTACTATAAGTACATACAGCGTACTGCCTGTGCAGCTGGGGTACGTGTCATCTCGCCAGCTCAAAAATTTGTTGAGAACCCGTTAACTCACGTGCATCTCGCTTTTCCTTTAGTTGCCAATGCGCCCTTGTAACAAACTGGGAAAACGCACAAATAAATTATGACAGTTTATTAAACCACTTTTTTATTTTTGTGACAAAAATTCTGCAATTGTTTTCTAGAGTTGGTCTGTTGTTTTTATTGCAGTCCGTGTTGGTTTGATTCTTTTATGTCTATTATGTCAGATTTACTGGCCTGACTGGATTTTTACTAGCCATGGGCTAGCAGGCCAGTGGCTTTTTCACACTGTTGATGTTTGAAGAGTTTTGCTGACCATATCATGAGCATGATGAGGTATTGTTGACATGTTACAGTTCACTAATTATCAAAATTGATTAGCGTTAAAGTGATACAGGGCTCCAGATAATTTTTCAACATCAGGAGTATGTACTCCTTATTATTGGAAAAACTCAAAAGTACATTTATAGTAGTGAATGGAATCTTGTGTTTCGTTTCATATATGCGACACAACATTGCTACTCTTGTGTAAACAGGTAAATAAACAATAAAATAATACTTTTTCAGATAAATACGTCTGTAAATGATTCTAAGACCGTACACCATTGCTGTGGTGCGATTATCTGCTGCGTTTCCTAAATTATTTCCTATCGTATCGTGCATATTTTTTATCTGTACATACGCCGATACGGCCTTTATCTGGAGCCCTGACATTGATATAAATCTTTCAGATCCATAAAAGGATCAAGATATTGTGGCCAAGTTGAGTCTTTGAATTTACAAATGGTATTGTACAGGTCACAGTTCCATATTGACTGGCATCAATTCCAGAACAGAAGAGACTTGGAACACAGCTGCTTTTGCCCATCACTGTGTTAGCATTTGGAGCTGAAATGAAAAAGGCACTTTTTTAAAACAATACCAAACCTATTCAACACCAAAACACTCAAACGATTGATTTGAAAATTTAGATTGTCAGCTTTGTTCAATGTTTTTTTCCTTATTAATTTCTCTTATATTCTCCCAACATGCCTACACTTCTGGATCTCCTCTGTCAAAGCAGCAAAGCATTCTCATCCACTCTACTTATAGCATGCTTAGATGGACTATATGTTCTTAACATATTTAAACCAACATTTACTACAGAAAATGAAGTAGTCTACACAAAGTAATGATTCAAGAAAACCTTCCAAATGCTATTGGTCTGTGCAGGGTTCCGAATTTGTTCGAGCAATATTCTAGTTGTATCATGACTACCAGTAAATAATTTAATCCGAACAAGGCCATCCACTTGCAGATATTACAACAGTGTATGAAATTAAGCCTGTCTGACTGCCCAAGACGGGCTAGATTTCTGATGGACGGCCTAAATTTACAGCTAACCAGCCCAATGGTCCATTAAGAATGTTAGATAACATGTCGAATACATCTGAGTAAATTCACCATATCTTAAAATCTATTTTCCAAATTGAGTGTTACATTTAGACTTGACAATTACTGTTTGAACATTGAACTATTGTATCTAGTGGTGTTCCGATGATAATTTTTTCGGAAAGAAGGATTAAAAATGATTATCGATTGTAAAAAAAATATTTTTGATTAATCAGAATTTTGTTGTTTTTGTATAACACCCTTGAATTAAGTATACTAACCATTTAATTTGATGGATATTCATGAACAAACATGCGCTCAACACCGTAAAGCTATGCGCATTGTAAACTAATAACGACTTTATTGTTTAATTACAATTCCAGTGTCTTCCTTGCATGTGTGCATTTCATTGCATGACAGTATAAGTTACCCAAAAAACATTAATTAAAAAAAATGGGGAAAACACCTTAAAATTGGCGATTAAAAATGTATATATTTTGATTATAATCGATAATCCTTCACAAGTCCACTGATAATCGATAGTTGATTTGGTTTCCGATTCCCAACACTAATTGTATCTCAAGCTCAAAGCACTTTGTTGACATATATTATCACTAAAACAGTGCCTAAAGAATAACTAAAAATTGGATAATTTTCTTTGGATTGTCTCGTCTGGTTACATACATTTTGTGCTGGTAACATTTTGAAGTTACCAGCCCTGATGTCTGGCTGGGTTTTTGGCTTATTTCATACACTGTATTACAAGCTGTGTTCTACAACATCAGTGTATGATGAGATCCTATGACCAATACACCAAGTCTGGCCACTTGACCGATCAAGTCCACTTTTGGTTTGGTTTGGTTTGGTTGTAGTTTAATGCTGCACTCGGCAATATTCATGCTATATGGCGGTGATCTGTAAATAATCGAGTCTGGACCAGACAATCCAGAGATCAACAGCATGAGCATCGATCAACATCATTTCGATGCAATGACAAGTGTCAACCAAGCCAGCTAGTCTGACCACCCGATCCCCTTAGTTGCCTCTTACGACAAGCATGGGTTGCTGAAGACCAATTCTAACCCGCATCTTCATGGGTCAGTTGCTTTTTACTACAAGCGGTTAAAGCTAAACTAAGCCTCAATCTCTCACAGGGGTACCCTCTACAAAGAATAATTATGGGAAGGATTATTCACTTAAAAAACCTTAATTTTAACATTACCTTAAATTTCAGATTAAAATAGAATGACAAATATATCAACCTTCTTAAGCGTCGATAAAGCAAAGTTTCTTGTGATCTCCAGTCTCCTCTTGTATTCATCAGTGAAGTTCCGGGCATCGTCAACACTTGAACACTTATCCAAATGCTTCAGAAAGAAGTCTTTATCTTTTGTACAAAATGTGCATTGGCCCTTTGGACAGAAAAGCATAAACCGTGCCACCTTGCACTCCTCGGCAAGCATGTCTAGACCATACAGTGGGTTCATTTTGTGTCTCTCCAACATATGAACTCGGACCTCAAGGGCCTTTGTGGCCAAAAACCGACAATGCGCACACTTGTAATTTCCTTTCTTTTCAACATCAAATTGAGTCTCAGAGCCTTCAGATGTTTTTTGAGACTTTTCTTTCGAGGAAGAACCTGATGTCTTGCCTGATGGCAGATTGGAAGGATTGGGGGACCTTGTGCGTGTTGTTTGCTCCTTTTCATACAGTGCTTTAGGGCTACTGTTGTTTCTGTTGTTGCTAGGCAAAGAGGTGCTGTTGTTGCTGTTAACTGAAGTATTACTGCTTTGGATTGCAGAGGGGCTGCTGCTGTTGGTTGCTGAGGTCCTGGTGTTGCTGTTGGACTTATCTGTGCTAGTTGAACTAACTGCAGAAGATGCAAGTTGACTGTTCATCCTCCTCTTCACTGTGTCTGCTGCATTTTGGGACTGAGGATCTTTAATTGGTACAACAGCAACTGGCACAGACGTGGACACAGCTTGAGCTGACGATGAAGATGAGGAGGACACAGAATCTGTAACTAAGGATCCTTGAACTGGTTGTACAGGTTGCTGTTGGTCTTGAAACATTTCACCCTCCTTGTCACAGGCTGGAGCAGATTCATAAACATAGATGGTGGTAGGTGATTTTGGTTCAGTTTTGATATGCACAGAGGAACCATAACCTTGAGGAGCAGAAGCATTCAAAGACTTTCCTGCATCTTCTGGACAAGGCTGAGTTTGATTGGTCAGCATCATGTTCTCCTTCACGGCATTCACCGTGTTTTTCACACTTGCATGTTGACTGTTACTAAGATTTGGGGTCTCATAAGCTTCTCTTTGGCACATCCGAGAATGTTCCATCCAGGACACTGGATTAGTGGTGTTAAATATACAATTGGTGCCGACACAGAAGTAGATCCACTGCACAACACTACTGCCTGCTGTAACTTCCCCCATCACCAATGTTCCTCCAGGATGACCATCTAAGTAATGGTTCTTTACAGCTGAGAAAGTGGAGTCATGAATTGTTGAACACAACAAGCATGTATAGGTGCTTGGGTTAACAACCGCTACAGTCTTTGTAGGATCGCTCAGGACAGGATTGTTTTCCTCTGTTATGGACTTCATGTCAGGTTCATGGTCCTTGTTGGTTTCTTCATCTACTTCAGCATTCTCATTCTCATCTTCATCATCTTCCTCAGCATAATCCATTTCAACAACAGCGTCATTAACTTCCTCTTCTTCTTCTTCTTCCTCTGTATCTTTCTTACTAGGTTCAGGCTCTGGCAAAGGTGCACTTCTTCCTTTTCTCTTTTCAGTTTTTCTTTTCACATTAGGGGACGATGGAACTGTGTCCTTCAAAATACCTTTATTCTTCTCATCACTTGCATCAATTTCTTGAGCTTGTGACAGGGTAACAATCTTTAAGGCAAACTTCGGCCGTGCTATATCATGTTCAAGTTCTGTGTGTTTTCCCAAGATTGCCTTTTTAAAAGTCCTAAATTTACAAACACTGCACTCAAAGCACACGCCTGGCATTCGTTCTTTTTTAACCAACTTTGGTGAAGACCGTGTCATTCTCTCTGTCACTTTGTTCTCTTCTTCACTTCCGGTTTTAACATTATGTTCAGATTCATGTTTACTTTGGGGAGAGGAAACGTATCTACGCGATCTCCCACGTCTACTTTTAGTGCGACCTCTCTTTGCAGGACCTTCAACTTTATTCTTCTTTGCCTCATCTTCATCCGCGGACCCTATCCTCTTCCTTTTTGAATCTGGTGATTTAGTTTCAAGTTCAGATTCTGAGTTTGATTTTGCGTTATCTTTTGGAGATTTTTTTGACATGTCATTGCTTTGGTTGAGACCATGTTTCAAGAGGTCGGGCAGTAGAACACAGACCTTGAGATCACTGCCGTCGAACTCTGAGTGCTCCTGCACAGTATGTCGAACAACATCAACACGAGAGAAGGTCTGGAACACACAATACTGGCAGGAGAAGCGATGATCCATCAGGTGAGTCAACAGCTGGTGTTTCTCCTCCGTCTTGAAGGTACAGAAGTTACACCAGTAGTATGGCAGATCAATGTTCGATATGACTTGTCCTGAGTTGGACAGGTATATAGTTTTGGAGGACAGTGCACACACAATTTCATTAGCTCTGACACTCAGGAGTCTCTCACACGACTTTTCTGTGACTCTTGATTCACTCAAAATGAGTCCAATGTGACTCTTGTCAACCGGGTTGATGCTGCAGGTCCTTGTCGGACTCTGTGGACGAACAATTTTTCCTAATTCGTCAGCCATGTTGTCAGAGGTTTTACAGGACAAATCCTGGAAATAAATTTAATGAAGTCTTTTAAAGAGAATTCCTGGAACTGAAACATTCATAATTCAAACTAAAATGATTCAAAAGAATGAGGTGAGTGTGAGTGAGTGAGTTTTGTTTTACGCCGCACTCAGCAATATTACAGCTATATGGCGGCGGTCTGTAAATAATCGAGTATGGGCCAGACAATCCAGGGAATTGGGAATCGATGACATGTGTCAACCAACTCAGCGAGCCTGACCATCCGATCCCGTTAGTCACCTCTTACAACAAGCATGGGTTACGGAAGATCAATATTCTAACCCGGACCTTCACGATTAGAAAGAATGTCTACAAAGGCTTATCACATCAGTATAAAATATAAACTTCCACTGCACCTCAGTTCAACAGAAAGTTTAAAGTATCAAGATATACATACACTTAGTAATTCTTAATTTTGAATAATTGAGTCATGAAATTGCTGATGTTTTGTGAATGCAAATCGATAGAAGGGAGATAACTCTAAATTTCTTTTTCTTGTTGTCTGCTAGATTCTATGTCATTTGAATATTGAGTATAAGCTAATTGCCTAACTCTGGTACTCCTTATTATGATCCGATACCCGCGCTTCAAAAGTTCAAAATTAACACTGAGGTGTTCGGTAAGATAAATATGTTGTTAACCTCGGGGCCCATTGGTTGATGGACCCTCTATGTTTGTTTATGTTCCCCTTGGGCTAAGGGAATATAAACAAACATAGAGGATACATCAACCCATGTCCCCCTCATGACCAGTGAACAACTTCTAACAATGTTAAGATAGGTATACACACGAAACAGCGATTCATAGATTCTGTCGAACTGTGGTACAACAACAACAACATTATGACAGGGTCATGCTTTGTAAAACCATGACTTGTATTATTTGAAGAATTGTCATAAATTCCACCAAAGATATATATGTTGAAACAAAACAGGGATTTGTAGATTCTGTCAAACTGTTGAACAATAACAATACTATAGAGTCAACTTAGTCAAGTTGGGACACTGAATTACATCAGATATTCTAGCATCTTATATATGATTAACAAGATTGATTGTTCCAATTCTGCAATTAGAAAAGAGTGCATATTCTTGTCTGAGTGAGTTCTGAATGACTGTCAGTGAGTTCAGGGATATCAGCACTTTCTAGACCGGTGCTTACAGTACTGGGCAGCACAGACGTCGTCAGTGATGAAGGCAGCGACGCCGGATTCACAGGAGTTGGTGGCCAGGCAGGATTCACAGGAGTCGGTGGCAAGGCAGGATTCACAAGAGTCGGTGGCAAGGCAGGATTCACAGGAGTCGATGGCCAGGCAGGATTCACAGGAGTCGGTGGCCAGGCAGGATTCACAGGAGTCGGTGGCAAGGCAGGATTCACAGGAGTCGGTGGCAAGGCAGGATTCACAGGAGTCGATGGCCAGGCAGGATTCACAGGAGTTGGTGGCCAGGCAGGATTCACAAGAGTCGGTGGCAATGCAGGATTCACAGGAGTCGGTGGCAATGCAGGATTCACAGAAGTCGATGGCCAAGCAGGATTCACAGGAGTCGGTGGCCAGGCAAGAATCACAGGAGTCGGTGGCAAGGAAGGATTCACAGGAGTCGGTTGCCAGGCAAGAATAGGCTTCTCATCAGTAACTGCAGAGGTGAGGGTGCTTCCAATATCAAATTTTTCTTCATTGGATGTTTGCTGGTATATGGCAAGCGACTGGACACTCTTATGGCCAGTCAAGCTCATGAACTGAGAGGACGAATAGTTGCAGCGCGTGAGTATGGTAGCTCCTGTGACTCGTACACAGTGATTTGTGTACACCGTGGATAGATTGCAGCTGGCACTCAAGGTTGACATGAACTCTGAAAACCGGAATGCAAATTAACCTAAAATAGAGATTTTATGGTCACTTCACACATAAAAATACTGATTTCTTTCACATTTATATCCTACATTGAATGCAAACTGACTTAAAATCTCTATTTTATGGTTGCTTCACACATTAAAATACTGATTTCTTTCACATTTGTATGCATCATTAATGAACATTAAATTTAAAACACATCATCTTGCAAATATTTTCAAAAAATCTTACATGTAATGAATTTACATGTTTATAATATAGTATACGAATACTTACTTGCCAGGGTGTTCTTTCCAAGTGGTTTCTTGGTATACCAGACGTTGTCCTCAGCAGTGAAACTGTCCTTGGGATATTGCCACAGTCGATTTAAATCTGGATTCAGTTTCTCGATGTATTTCAAATAGGAGGAAACAGGGCACAATTCACTGTTTGGAATTTCAGGCATGCAAGCACCATATGACTCCCTATCCTCACTATGGTTTTTAGTTAGCTCCCAAAGTCCCTGCCTAATGAAACGTATTCCATTAGAGGGATCGACAGCCACTTCAAAAGTGTCTTTTGTCATTGACTCCATATTTTTTGCCCCCCTCCGAAAAAAGTAGAAACGAATGTCAAACTGCACTTTGTTGGCTAGTCCACTTGGTGTCTTGCAATCCATGTGAACACTGCTGTAAAGCTTCTGTAGATCCAAAGAAAGTATTTCTTTCTTATGTTCAACGTCACCCTTTCCCTCGGCTTTAGCTTCCAGTGTCATGGTCTTGAAGCTCTCATTTGCGTCAATGAATTCAGTATCTTTGATGATGTCGAATTTCTTCAGATGTGGTGGGGATTTCAAATACCGATTAAGTCCATACCTTATCGATTCAAGTGTTGTTACCTTATAAAGTTCACCTGTTTGCATCCTCACATCAACATAGAAATGACACAACACTTCAGCCAACCTGTGTGAATCAAATGATTCAAATCTTGCATCTTCTTCTTTTTCCCGCAGGTATTCTCTCAATAATGCAGCTGCGTTGTTATTCCCCTTCTTCGTATTAACTGGGACTACCGTCGTTTTCTCAAAATTTCTTCTCAAAATTTCTTCGTCAGAATGAGAAGCAAATCTTTTTGTCGACATCGCTAGATTTTCAGATGACATAGAATCTAGCAGACGACAAGAAAAAAATATTTTGAGTTATCTCTCTACCATTGATTTGCATTCACAAAACATGGGTAATTTCCGTACATAATACGTGACTCAATTATTCGAGATAAAAAAAATAATAACAGGAAGTACCAAACGAATTCTCACAGTTCAGCATTTCCAGCGGGTAACATAGAAAATGTTACTCGCTTGTAAGAGGGGTACATTGAAAATAATAGAAGAGTGCTCAGCCAATTAGAAAATGACACTTAAATATGTGTGAAGTAGGATAATATAAGTTGTTCACTTGTCAAAAACACAGGGATGGAAATAACCCATTGCCCGACGCCTCAGTCCAGTGTTTTTTTCTGTCGGGCAAGCAAATTTGTATATCACGCTGTACCGGTGTCCAGTTGACTTTCCAATGTTAATTATGTTGTTTATTTAAAAAATGAACAAGAAAATCAGCCGGTATAGTGGAAAATTTATCAGGGCAAGTGATTTTACATGTGCCACTGTAACCAAGTACACTAGCAATTTTACAGTCATTTCCACCCCTGAAACATAGAGGGTTCATCAACCCAAGAGCCCTGATGGACCAGTGAACAACATATTTATCTTACTGAACACCTCAATGTTTGAACTGTTTGAAGCACAGGTATCGGATCATAATATGGAGTACCAGAGTTGGGTTGATGTGCGCTCTATGTGTGTTTATGTTCTCCTATCTTTCGTTAGTCTACCGGTAGCCATTTGGGTCTTTTTTGTTTCTAAAGATCCTTCAACACCCATTTTCAAATTTAATTTTATTCTATTACAAAAAGACTTTTCAGTATCATCCCTTACTATTGCATCAAAGAAGACAAGACAATGCGGTTCACAAGCTCACTCCTAGTGAACAAAACACAGAAACAGTCTTTAAATCTGAACTTGCACCTGTGCACAATTGCTATTGTTCGTTCTCATGTGTCCGAACAAGTCACATGCCTTAATGTCAATCTAGGATTGTCCTGGTAGGAACATCTGTCAGTGGTCCCATGATATTATCAGGTAGCACAATGTGAAAAGTAACCATTTATCTGGCAGACCTACCACAGGCCAAGTAGTGAGTGAGTGAGAGAGTTGGGTTTACGCCGCTTTTAGCAATATTCCAGCAATATCATAGCGGGAACACCAGAAATGGACTTCACACATTGTACCCATGTGGGAATCGAACCCAGGCCTTCGGCGTGATGAGCGTATACGCTTTAACCACTAGGCTACCTCACCGCCACTGCAGACCAAGTAACATGTTTCATTAACCAAACGTCACTTCACTTGTACATGTTGTTCTTAACAGGATCTTCATGGGCAGCAGGGATTTCTTTTGTAAAATATTTAAATGAGTAATAATGAAGTCAAAACATTACTGGTTATTACATTTTTTTGTCGCCTTTTCAGTTCATGGTAACGTTCTAAAATGAGTAATTATCAATTCATAACATTGCATGGTAACACTGTAGATTAGGAACAACTAAACAAAACTTACTTGGAGCTGGATGTTTACGGCATGCTTTAAAGCCTTCTTTTTGTACATTTTGCATAAGTAATTATACAGACAGTTCCACAACACGGAGGGGCGGTGGAGTAGTCCAGTGGTTAAAGCGTTTGCTCGTCACACTGAAGACCCGGGTTGGATTCCCCACATGGGTACAATGTGTGAAGCCCATTTCTGATGTCCCCCAGCATGATAATGCTGGAATATTGCTAAAAGCGGCGTAAAACTTAACTCACTCGCTCACCCCACAGCATGGTTTTGTAACATCAGACACTGTTTCCAATAAAGCTGGTACCGGGTTATGCTTTTTCACACACTAAACACTGGTGAGTGAGTGAGTGGAGTTTTACTCCACTTATAGAAAAATTCAAGCAGCATCATGGCAAGGGACTGCAGAAATGGACTTCAAACATGGTACCAATGAGAGGAATTGAACCCAGTCTTTCAGTGTGACTAGCAGCCACTTTAACCGTTAGACTACCCAACTTATCCACATGTACATTTTGTTTCTGCACCTGTCCCACTCCTGTATTTTTTGTATGTTTTGTTTGATGTTTAACGCTGCACTCTACTAGACCAGCTATATGACATCACTGATCAGTCTGAAAAAATAATCGAGTCTGGATCAGACAATCCAGTGATTGATATCACGAGCATCAATCTAAGCCACTGGGATACGATTAAAAACCAAGTCTGCGAGCTAACAACCCGATCCCATTACTACAAGCATGGGTTGCTGAAGACCAATTCAGACCCTGATATTTGTGCGTCTCCACGGTAATAATAGTGTATTACAAAATGCACACCTATAACAGATCCTTGTTCTAAAACATTTAGAAGTCTTTCTTAGCTTCATTGCTAAAACGATAATACTTGGGAAATTAATTTCACGAACATTAAGACCTGTTTCTTAGATTAGATCATTTATAAGTTAAGATAGGATAAGATAAACTAACATGAGTCTATTGCTAGTTATTCACAATTATTCTTAAGGGTTATTGACTATAGCTGCAGAGACAATAATGACAGCCAAGAGTCAAAATTGAAAAAGATACTCTGTGAAAACAATGAGATTTTAACTGTTTTATGCCCTTTTAGCAATATTCAAGCAAAATTACAGCAGCCCATGAAAAGATGTATGTGCAGTGGTGGATCGGGTGGGGTGGGGGTGGGGTGGGGTGTCCAGAGTGTTCGACCCCCTTTGAAAATGACCACATTGAAGTTAATGTTTTGCAATGGAGCCAAGGTGTCTTCCCCCCCCCCCGGAAAATTTCTGGATCCGACTATGATATGATCAAAGACTATGAACAATTTGCTGAACTTTAGAAAGATCTTCCTTGTGAGAAATGAGAAATACACGCATTGAACAAACAGAATAAAACCTTTTGACACTATACCTTGCCCAAAAAACAGATTATTCAATCAACACCTCTTTCAAATGTTTTCATGATCACCACAAGTTATGAATTCATTATGTGAGGTGCACAAGTTGTGCAATAGCCCATTGACAATATTCAGGAAGGAAGTTGATAATATCCTCAATTTATTTCACTGGAAAAGGAAGTTTCCAGTGAACAGCCCAGTCTAGCTGTATGCAATATTGGAGCATGCTGCAGGAGGACTATCTTACTTCAGATCACTTTAAAAAGTTTCCTTTGTGTGGATACTTCCTTTCCTTTTCAGGGCTCGATTTAGTGCTTTGTTACTTGCACTGGTGCAACGCAATATTACAAAGAGCAACTTAGTTATGACTCTTAACTTGCACAAGGTGCAAGTCAATTTTGAAAAAATAAATCAACAATAAATCTAACATTATAAGTATAAATGTGTCATCTCATTTTTCTTCTAAACTTTAAATAGCTATGGCAATGAAATATTGCTATTCATATACACGTTCCGGCTATGACAGCTCTTGTAAACAGAGATCAGCTGTGTCTCTGTGTTGCTATGGTTTCATAGGTACTACATCACGGAAATATGTTTTGTGCACCGACACCTCTGACGTTTTAACACACTACATTGCAACTGGAATGTGGCTGGTGCAACTAGGTTTTTATCTTAGGTTGCACCTGGTGCAAGTAGGTTAACCTCTCTTAAATCCAGCCCTGCTTTTCTATCCACAAAACACTGAAAACTGTGGTGCATGTGCAAGTCAGCAATATCAGATTGGTGGTATATGTATTTTATATTACCTTCCCTAAACAACATACCTAAACAACATACAAACTCCAGGGGACAAAAGAAATTACACAGTTATATCTGTAGTTTGTTACAAGTGACATTTACCCATGAAGATCGGGGTCAGAATTGGTCTTCAGCAACCCTTGCTTGTCATAAGATGAGACTAACAGAGATCGGATCAATGGCGTGGTGACAACGGACAAGCTAGGCATTAGGTCAATACATGTCATCATATCCCAATAGCAGATTGATGCTCATGTTGTTGATCACTGGATTGTCTGGTCAAGACTTGATTATTTACAGACTGCTGCTATATAGGTGGAATATTGCTGAGAATGACTGCTGCGGAATATTTTTAAAAAAATAACATTAAAACATAACATATAATTTGAGAATGTCTGCTATCGTTAACTGAAATGACAATAGTAAACAAACACAAATTAACCGTTGTATCCATCATCTACTCCCCGAGTAAACTTTGCCGTCATGACCTTAGTTGTTTGAGAATTAATACACATACACATGTATTTAACTTCCATAATTCACAAAACTAAAACATGCTGTTATTTCACCATTTGTACCTCAACATTGACCTGCATTTTGGACATAAATATTTTAAATATCTTGTATCAATTTGTTAACTAAACCTGTGTTTGTAATGTATGCGTTAAACTTAATTGTCTATGCAGAAAACAACTGTGATATTTTCAATACCATTCATTTCCAAGATTGTCTCGGAAATTGTAGGAAAGAAAGAAAATCACAAAAATATAAATATTCTTTAACGAATAAACCGGTTCTTAGAAAAAATATTACAATATGTATCGTTTTAAAATCACATTGCCATATACCTGTATACCGGTAATACCGTGCAGTCCTAGAGAGTTAAGTATTTTGAATTTTATTGTGTGTTAAGTAGTGGTGTTGCAATTAATAGAAATAATCGAAGATTGGATGCAGTGACCATACGACCAAGCAATCGATTACATTTTCTCATAATTGTACAAAAACGATTTTGGAACTACTGTTTTAGTGTTTGAAATACTTGAAGAGGGAACATATCTTAGAAGTTGTCAGGGCCTGGAAACGTGTTTAATTCTTAGAAAACTCAATTCACTCGCTGAAAAGTCATGGCTGAATATTTCTTGAAGACACTGGAAACTTCATGTTCTGAACTTCATGATATAATAGTCATCACTTTAAAGTAGCAAGTTGCATCATGTTACACAGGTTGTGAAATTCGTCAATGCAATTTGCGCAGTTTCTAAATAAATGAAAAATACAACAACAACAGAGAACGACAAGTTTTTTTCTTTATATGTATCTGGAATAACAACTTAACCTGAATAGGAAAATCTGAAAAAAGCTAACCAATTTTTTTCAATGATTGCTCGATGGTAATGAACCAATCATCGATTGTGAGGTTTCAACAAATTCCCAACACTAGTGGGAAGGTTGAAGAGGAAAGCCCTATGTCTTGCAGCGTTCAACCATTAAACAAGTTAAAATATATTCCATACTGTCCACTGTGTAAAAGGAAACTAAACTCATTGGTTTGTGTAAGCCCTACTGGCTGACAAACAGTTATCGCAATATCTTAGTGGTATTTACCAAATTACTCCGACGTTCGTTATATTAATGAAACAGAATTAATTACCATACTTAATTAGCTATTCACTGATGTGTCCAGTCCGTTCACTGCCACCGATCATGTTTTTATATAACGCGGCAGAAGGGGAATCATGGCAGTACAAAGAAGTGTTTTCTCACAACTAACTGTAACAATTATCGCCATTTCAGAATTTCTCATGTCATTCATGAAATAATACATATTTATATTATAAAGTAATCTCGAATAGTTGATTGTGTGCGACTAATTGAGTGTTTTTACAGTAGATTGATAGGAAATGAAACAATTAATGACTGTTGTGAACTTGAACTTGCTATTATATAGATCGTGTGACATCCCCCAACTAAGTTAAAAAAATTTATAGGGTTCATAACTTTATCTTTAATTTTTTCTCTTATGTTACTTACCGTGAAGAATTTTCTTTTGCTGTCCTTGACTGTTGTCAAATTCCACAGGAAAAAATACCGGAATTGTAACTGACCAGAGTGAGTGAGTGAGTTTAGTTTTACGCCGCTCTCAGCAATATTCCAGCTATATGGTGGCGGTCTGTAAATAATCAAGTCTGGACCAGACAATCCAGTGATCAACAGCATGAGCATCGATCTGTGCAATTGGGAACCGATGATATGTGTCAAACCAAGCCAGCGAGCCTTACCACTTGATCCCGTAAGTCGCCTCTTACGACAAGCATGGGTTACTAAGGTTCATTCTAACCCGGACCTTTACAGGTGTAACTGACCAGAACTGCGCACACGTGATACTGATGAATTGGCGATAACTGTTACACTGCGATAACTGTTCGGCAGCCAGGAGTGAGTGAGTGACTTTAGTTTTACGCCGCACTCAGCAAATTCCAGCTATATGGCAGCAGTCTGTAAATAATCGAGTCTGGACCAGACAATCCAGTGATCCAGCACAATTGGGAACTAATGACATGTGTCAACCAAGTCAGCGAGCCTGACCACCCGATCCCGTTAGTCGCCTCTTACGACAAGCATAGTCACCTTTTGTGGCACGCATGAGTTGCTGAAGACCTAATCTACCCCGGATCTTCACAGGTACGGCAGCCAGGAATGTTGGCAATTGGTTATGATTGATGATTGGTTCATTACAACCGATCAATCATCGAAAATAACTGGTTAGTGTCATTTATCAAATTTTCATGTTATGTTTGTTAATGCACAAAAAATATAGAAAAGAACAGGTAGTTCTTTGGGTTTTTTTCGCAAACTGCACAAATTACACATCTCTAAAGGAGGACTTGTATGTTAGGAACATAATTTTCCTGGAGTGTTCAAAAGAAATTCAGTCATTACTTGAAACCAGCTTTTAGTGGTTATGGAATGTAAATTTAATGACACAGACAAAATAAATCTTGTGAAAAATATTGATAATGCAAACAAGTGTTCCAAAATTGTTTGTGTTCAATTACTGGTATATGTGATCAATTGCTTGGTTGTTTAGTCACCGCGACCAATATCCGATTATTTCAATTAATCGGACCGCCACTAGTATGCCCCAAATGGATTACATTAATATATTGATTTGCAGTCATTAATGACATTTTTACGAGAATATTCATCAAATGTGTATGACTTGTCTTACTGGTGCTGAAGGTCGAGTGAGTGAATATGGTTTTACGCCGCTTTTAGCAATATTCCAGCAATATCACGGCCGGGGACACCAGAAACTGGTGCTGAAGGGGTCGTTGTCGGCACAGGTACTACAGATACGTACCCCAGGTACCTTTCTGTATACAGATATGTACCCTAAACAAAGTCAAAATACAAAAACGTTCCCGGTACCCTAAAAGGCGGACGAGTCCATATTCCACAATCCAAAAGCGAAACCGTATGTAGTTGTTCCCGTTCAATGGATTCCGAGTGGTATTCATGTGCATCGCGAAATATCCGTTACTGTGTATTCTCATTACTTACATAACACAATCAAATGTATCTAATACAACAGTATGACAGTTCCGGTCAAGAATACGACACAATGTGAATGGAATCGTCCTAGGGTACGTTTCTGTATTCTCATTATGGCCAAGGTACATATCTGTAGTACCCGTGCCGACAACGACGCCTTCAGCCTTACTGGTACAATGATAACACCATCAATATTTGGGTAATTTTACACAGCAAAAAACATCATTCGTCAATCCACTATGTTTGCAAATAACGACTATTTATGACCGGTAACAATACAAAATAGATTCTAGTCTCAACCCTGAACTAAATAAAAATGAACTGCGACTGAGAACAGGTGGTTTTTCGTATGGCGGAGTGGTTCAGACCACTGGTATTAGCCAAATATCGCCCGTATGTAGGTCATTATTAGTCCCTAAACCCAGTATATTTTTAGGGGACATACGATAAGGCTCCATCTACAACAGAAACAGCCTACTCTTTCAAATGAACTACGTATTTTTCGGGATTTTGTTTCGATGGTTTCCGTGTCTTTCTATATATAGGTCTCGATCAACTACTGGCGGTCAAGTTTTCAATTGCACTTGGTCTATTGTATAATGTCCCGATCACGGATGTAACGGTGCAGGGAATTTCATATTTATCCGCCTAAGTTTTTTCCTTGCGTATTGCAGTACTGATTGTGTCTTACTCACCTTGAATTTTCAATACGAATTTCATTAAGTTGACCGAGTCAACAACAGCAAACAAAATTCGTGATGGGGTTCTCGCTACGCCATGTTTGTGAAAAGGGAGCTAACTTGAACAACGGATGTATTAGTTTCTGAGTGCCCGAGGATGTGGACCGGGCTAATGTCTATTTGTCGTTGTGGTCCATGAATCAGCGTGAATTCATTTGCTTTCGTGGTTTCCCAATGCAGAATGATTTTTTGATATTGGAATTAACTGATTTGAATACATATAACGATATATTTTTCACATAATTATCACGTATTACGTTTGTGATTCAAAGTTATCTCCCTTGATGACTACCCTGTCTTTATTAAAGGGGCACTGATCCAGAGCGAATAATGTTTCGCGCCAACAATTGTCAAAAGTACCCAGGGCAATAGAAATATAATGTTTGGGGTTTTTTGGGGCGTGTATTGTTATATTACTTCATTAAAATAGGTAGTTTTAACATACCTCAAAATAATTAATTAGGTCCCCTAATCATCATCCAAAATACCATTTTACAAGTAAAAATAACAAGAAATTGCATATCATCAACACATTTAGAAACATAAAAACTTACGTCACAATCAACAGTGGTTGGTAACAACTACCTGCAGCATTGTTTATACGGGAAGATGCATTTGCACATACGTTGCCATAGCGATTGTGCAATTGACAATCAAAGTTACGATTGAATTGGTAAAAATAGTAAAGTACATGCATGAAAAATGTACTGAGAAAATCCCTAAATCAATTATTTTGTATATCAATTAGGATAAAAGAAATAAAGGATGAATGGTGTATGACGTTTTTCATAAAATATATTATACTGAGTCAAAAAAGAAACTTCACAAAATGTAATTTGAAAAATAATGAATAATTTTTCTCTGATGATACATCTATGTATCCGAAATGGGATCCCTATCTTTCGACTCTAGAAAAACGTTAGCAAAACCCACTCAAACCCATCCATTCGTCGTGCAAATGACGTTAGTGCCAAATCAGGTTTTGCACGTGCAGTCGATCACGTGATCTTTGCATCGAAGTTTTCTTCATATGCACGTGTTTGCATTGGCCTCGAGAATTGAAAAACACTTTTAAACCACAGTTCTAACGGTACTTGAAATGCCACGATTGTCAAATGTGCAACGTGAACGTGCCGTTGGCATGTTGCAAGCGGGAAGATCAGTTTTTGACGTCGCAAGAGCAATGGGATGCAGCCGTCGTACTGTGTATGACTTGCGAGGTCGTCTACAACAAACTGGCACCACTTCTGATCGCCCAAGGTCGGTCGTCCACGTGTGACGTCACGAGCAGAAGACCGTCAAATCGTCCTACGTCACCTACGTGACAGATTTCTGCCAGCTACACGAACCAGGGCTGAGATGTTTAGAGGTCGACTGTCCTCACAGACCATTCAAAATCGGTTGCGGGCTGCCAATCTCCATTCTCGACGTCCATATCGTGGGCCAATATTGACGCCGTTTCATCAACGTCAACGTCTGCTGTGGGCCCAACGTCACCTCCGATGGACCCAGAGAGACTGGAATCGAGTCGTCTTTAGTGATGAATCCAGGTTTACCCGCAGATTCGCGGACGGCAGGCATAGAGTCTGGAGACGACGTCGTGAACGGTATGCCCAATGTTGTGTACAGGAAGTCGACAGATTCGGGGGCGGAAGTTGCATGGTGTGGGGTGCTTTCTGTGGGAACAACCGTTCCCGACTTCTGGTCATCCGTGGAAACCTCACAGCTGCTGCTTACCGCGACCAGGTGCTCACCCCTGAACTCGTTCCTTTCATGGCGGCTCATGGCCCAGGTCTACAGTTCCAGCATGATAATGCTCGGCCGCATACCGCGATGTTGACACGAAATTTCCTTCAAAACGCTGGAATCAACGTCATGGACTGGCCATCGAGGTCCCCTGACCTTAATCCAATAGAGCACGTTTGGGATGCACTTGGGAGAAGGCTTCATGGTCTTAGGAACCAACCTCAGAATTTGCAGGAACTTGGCGCTGCCTTGCAAGAGCAATGGCGCAGAATCCCCAACCACGTGTTCACAAGCATCAGGCAGTCGATGAGGAGACGGTGTTTGGCAGTGGTGAATGCGCGGGGCGGCCATACACGATATTGAACAGAGAAATTTCGCATTTTTATTCTTGTGACTTGACATTCTGTATACCCATGTTTTGGAACGGCGGTGTAGCCTAATGGAACTGATTATGGCACTGTCAGTGTATCGAGTACATCACACAGATCTCAGCAATGAAATAATAACAATTTAACCATCTTACCATCTCTTGTTCTTTTATAGTGCCCTGCAGAAAGAATGTGAAGTTTCTTTTTTGACTCAGTATATATTTTGTAGGCGAACCTTTTGAGAGTACATCTCATTTGCATACTATAGCATGCATCAAAAACGTACATTTTGACTTTGACTTTGAAATTAATTTCAAGGGGTAAAAATGACGCGATTTGCTCTCCTGTAAACTCATCTATTTCGGATGATTTTACAAAAAAGTGTTAAAAACAAAGGTTGGGAGAAACGATAGTCATAGAATATTTAACAATCAAACTTTAGTTGTGGTTACTTCGGTAAATGGGTATATACAGTTTTTAACTTTAGTACACAGCAAATGCTTATATGTATGTTCAACAATATTTATAGTTTTGAGGTAAAAGCTCGCACAGAGTTGGATCACCTCCCGATAGTTTGTGAACTCCATGACGTAATCGCTTCCTCGTCTAGCGAAATGGGACCCTATTCTATCTGATGTACATTGCAGCATCTCGTTTTCACTGGTTTCACGATCAATACACTGCTTCCAGTTTATGTAAAGTTATTTAATGTCTTTTTAGGGTATATGGTGTAATGCCTGAATCGTGGCTTTCGGGTATGATAAGGCCAATTTATAAGAACAAACGGAACAAAGCTGACCCTAGTAATTACCGGGGAATCTCAATATTAAGCTGCCTGGGAAAGCTGTTCACTTCCGTATTGAGTAAGAGGCTACAAGCTAGCGTACTCTGATAAGGTCAGCTTGATAAGTGAGAGCAAGCGGGGTTTACAAAGGGTTATTCAACTATGGACAATGTGTATGTTTTAAAATCTGTAATTCATATTTACTTTATCTTAGCCAAAATAAGAAATTGTATTGTTGTTTCGTTGATTTTAGTAAAGCTCCGGTTTATGGAGCAAGATGATTAAATGTGATATTTCAGGTAAATGTTTTCTCGTCATATCTAACATGTACAAATGTACCAAGTCATGTGTCTCATACAATGGTAATACCAGTGATTATTTTCATTGCTGTTCTGGTGTTGGACAAGGCGAAAATCTCTCCCCATTTCTCTTTGCATTGTACCTAAATGATCTGGAAGAGTATTTTAATGGCCTGGAACATTTAAAGAATAACATTCATCATGATCTCTGTATCTACCTAAGACTTCTCTTATTACTCTATGTAGATGACAAAGTTTTGTTCACAGAAAGCCCGACTGATATTTTTATATTTGATGAGTATTGTAAAAGATGGAAATTAACTGTAAATGTCCCTAAAACAAAGATATTAATTTTTGGAAGGAGGCCTGATAAAATACACCATGTGTTCAAGTTACAACAGCAAAATATTGAATTGGTCTCAGAATATGTATATCTTGGTATTTTATTTACTCGCACTGGCAGTCCAAGTAAACTTAGGCTCAGTATTATTCGTTACACTGCTATACAGTGTAGGAGTGTAACCAATAATACTGAGCCTAAGTTTATTTAGACTGCTCGCGCTGGCAGATTTTGAAAAGGTCAAAAGAGAATTGTCGAGAAAGCATCAATAGCAATGTATGCTGTTTTTAGAAAATTACGTTTGTTAGATATTCCCATTGACTGTCAACTTAAACTCTTCGATAACCTTGTGTAGCCAATATTGTTATACGGCTCAGAAGGCTGGGGCTTCGAGAAGAGTACTATCTTAGAAAGGGTTCATTTAAACTTTTGTAAATATATTTTAAAAGTTAAGCAATCAACACCAGATTATATAATATATGGTGAATTGGGAAGATATCCAACAGGTATACTTATAAAGGTTAGAATCATTTCATATTGGTGCAAACTAATTTCATTAACTGGCACATTGTCCATTTATTTTTGTATAGGATCATGTTTACAATGAAAACGAATGACCCAAACACATATTTACATCTTATCAATGTAGTTCAAAGAATTTTGGAATGTTCTGGCTTAAACTGTGTATGGATATCTCAAACTTGTACAAGTAAGATTTGGCTTAAAAGTAACCTTAAGTCTATATTATGTTACTGGTTTTATCAACACTGGAACGAATGTAAATCAAAATCTCTAAAGGCCACTATTATAACTTGTTTAAGTTATCTCCATACCTTGAAAGTTCTCTATTACACCTTCCATTAAATGTACGCATGTGGCTTACCTATATTAGAACTTGTAGCCATAAACTCCCAATAGAAACAGGTAGATGGTATAATATCATTAAAAAAGAAACATTTTGTACATTGTTTAAAAATACAATAGGAGATCAACTTCACTTCATGTTATATTGTCCATATTTAACAAAAGTAAGAAATTCATTTCTTCCAAACTATTATTGTAATTATACATCATTAGACAAATATATATATCTAAATCTTGTCCGCATGAAGCACTACTGTTAAAGATAAGCAACTATGTGAAAACCGGGCTACGTATGCTCCCATAAACAAACGTGTACAATTGTATTTTTCTTTGTCACTAGTGTGATCTTCATGAGAATAAGCCATTAATTAATTCATTAATTCATTCATTCGAAAGGAATCATGCTGAAGTACCCATGTTCAAGTCCGTAGGTTATATACTGCGGGAAGATCAGAGTTTTCATCCTTACCTTATAGATAACATAAAGAATGGTATCCTGGCTGATTTTAGAAATCTACTTCATATTGACATTAACGCTGCGATTACTAAAATTAAGTCCCTACTTCAATTATCCGGTGTTAGAGCTGGAGCTATCAGATTCACTTCACCCTATCGCTGGTAATCGCGCCAACCTCCCTGGTTTGATCAAGAAA